TACCGCGGAAAACAGCTATTATTTTTCAATATACGGACTTGTTGTCAACGTTAATTATTCAATAAAAATGGACAGGGCGCCCATTATTTTACCGATTGTGGCCATCTTCCAAATCCCGCAATCTAGCATTATGACGTATTGTTTATTATTACGTAACGTCAAAATACCGTTGGCCTTTGGGCCTATGCCGTGGCACTCAAAGGTAGTGTTTTTGAATAGGCCGGATCACATATATTAAAAACACAGAAACGTATCAATATTTACCAATCACTAGTGAAAAGTCTTTATTTTGCTTGTTTTATTTTCATTTGAAACAGATTTGGGAGACAACTCTAAATAAATTTACGACACAGTGAGGCTCGCACAGTATATGAAATGTAACCAAATAGATATAAGAAGATGTGGTATAAGTGCCAATGAGACAACTCTCCATCCAAGTCAAAATTTATTAAAGTAAACCATTATAGGTCACAGTACGGTCTTCAACACGGAGCCTTGGCTCACACCGAACAGTAAGCTATCAAGGGCCCCAAAAATTACTAGTGTAAAACCATTCAAACGGGAAAACCAACGGTCTAATCTATATAAAAAACGAGAAACGAGAAACACTTATGAACCACATCAACAAACGACAACTACTAAACATCAGATTCCTGACTTAGGACAGGTGCAAACAAATGCAGCGGGTTTAAATGTTTTAATGGTACCAAACCTTCACCCTTTTTCTGAAACAATAGTGTAACATCAAAACATAGAAAGACACACTATAAAATATCAACTGAAATAGCTTAACTCAATCAAAGGACATATTAACACCAGTGAACATACACTGAACAAATAAATTTGACCTATGATACAATGTAAATACAAAATAAATAAACTAAGGGAAGAATAATAAAAGTAACATGTTATATCGGTATGAAATGTTAAGCAAATTAGGAAAAACAATATGCTCGAACAAAAATATCAGCCATTTGCAATAGCTTAAAACACAGGTAAATGAAAATAATTTTGTTGTTAGGTATACGTGTACAGTTCCAATAGAGAAAGGAAATATTTTTACAAAATAAATAATTTTGATGTTCATAGTACGAAGTGAAAATTTATAGTAATACCAAACACTTATCAAAGCTGGTAGGCCTATATAGACCAGATATAACCCTGAATAACATTAAATAACAAAAAAAGTATTACAATTAGTATCAACAGGTCAAATAAACAAGAAAGTACGATTTGAGAGTACTCGCAGTTACTGACAGCTAGTTAAAAGCCAAAACAATTAATAATAAAAAATCATGCATCAGAGACAAAAATCAACTAAAACACATCCCAGGGATTTAGTATTTTAACGTCATGGACAGTCAAAGAAGACATGACTAGTGCAATGCCAAAAATAAATGTATAGACAGACAGTAGGATAGTTAGGAGTTTAACCTCTTTATAGATCAAAATGAACGTGGGTGTGTCTTTATACATCCCGTTTGAAAAGAATACAAATTTAGTAATGTTTTAATTTGCTGATGACAAAATCGATATTAGTGCCAATGTACACTATATTCAAAGATCTAATTACAACATTGGTAAGATAACCTTTACTAATAAGTTTGTTTAAAGGTTCGATGAGTTTACACGGATCACATAGTGATTTCCGCGCTTTAAGTACAATATTACCGTAAAATTTAGGATGTGAAATACCGTTTTTAATTAGTTTTCTACAGGTACAGTCAAATTTACTAATCAAATCTTTTTATCTATGAAAGAACTTAGCAAAAGTTTTACGTAATTTATAGTAACGAAATCCCTGACTTAATAATTTACCAGTGATGCATTGATTACGTTCGTTAAAATCTATGACATCACTACACACACGGGCATAACGAACGAGTTGGGATATATAAACACCGTATGATGGAGCCAAAGGAACATCGCCGTCTAAAAAAGGAAAATTAACAATAGGGAATGAAAAATCGTCTCTTTTGTCGTAAATTTTCGTATGGAGTTTTCCTTTAGAGATTGAAATGTCCAAATCCAGAAAAGGACAACTACTGCTGTTTATGTTAGATTTAGTTAAAGTAAGTTCTATTGGGTAAATTTCGGTAGTATATTTAGAGAACTCTGGATTATTTAACGAAAAAATATCATCTAGATAACGGAAGGTATTGTTGAATGTATCAACCAAATGTAACAATGAGGTGTCTTTACTGAGTTTGGTCATAAACTGAGATTCATAGCAATACAGGAATAAATCTGCTATTAAAGGGGCGCAGTTAGTGCCCATAGGAATACCTACTACTTGTCGATACACTTTATCGCCGAAACGTACATATATGTTGTCCAGGAGAAAATTTAAGCTTCAATCATATCTTCACATTTCCAGTAAGTGTATCTAGCATACTTTCCTTTTTCGTTACAGAAAAAGGATTTAAATGTTTGTTTAGCGCCAGACGGAAAAAAAGATGTTTGAGGGACTGACCACTTATCTTTGGTGTTGATGGTTGGGCTCATATCATACCGGCTGAGTGTTTTTTTGGATTTTTAGGGACTAAGTCTAGAATAAATAAGTTATAATGAATTATCTTTTGGCCCCAACTCCCAAGTTGCAGACGGGGAAAGTAGTTAGTTTCTAATGAATATTTAAGTAATGAAATTAAATATATTAAATTCTTCTTCCTATCTGCATGGATTTGTATTTAAAAAAAACGGCTATATATAAATCCTTGCTGTTCGTTACAGTATTGAAAAAAACAACTTTTATAGTTAGAATGACCAAATTTGAAAAATTAAGGTTTGTCCTTAGAGAGAACCAAACAAAAGATGAATGGACTTTGGTACTCTTGTTTTCTCCATATGTGGTATGTACTATCAGAGACATATATACACATATATGTATATATATGTCTCTGTAACTCTCGATTTACGGTTGAAATTTATTGACAATTTGGTTTAATTCATCAGAAAAGAAAAATGATTCTTAGGATTTGTATAGTAATCTCTTACTATACTGTTTGAAATCCTTCGCTTCGTACTGACACAATTTTTACTAAATAGTAAATAAACAAATACATATATGTGACAATGCTCTTTTTCGTGGCATCAAGTTGATCATGATGATCCGACCAGACAAGACTTAACAATAATTGTTTGAAAGAATGTTGTTTTATATGAAATAGATAAAGCAAAAAAGAATCGTATGTGATTTTACTGATACATTTATACATTAGTCCTGGGACTATATTACCAGAGACATATATACACATGTGTATATATGTCTCTGATTATACTAGCGTTAGTATAATAGTCCCAGATTATTCACTGCATGTGACGAATACTTTTTTGGTTGTGACGTGATATTTTATCCTGACAAGTTACCGTCCATCGACTACATTAATGAAATTTTCCCTTTTTAATGTTAAATTCAGATGAACGAAAGTTGAAAGATCTTCATTTTAACCGTGTAAATCACCCGTTACTTCACCAAGAATTTATGCACTGAAATCAACATGTAGTAGTTTGCACTGTACTATAATGGACCATAAACTGTAAGTTTCAGTGAATATATGCCCCTGTTTTCATATCTTTCTCGGAAAAAGAACAGACGTCTGGCAACAATATGTTTTAGAAGTGTTTCTTCTTCTGGTTCTTCTCGTACAACCTTGTCCGCCCTATTTCATCTTTTGACATTAACGTATGTTATTTGGTACGAACGTGTATAACCGAAAGACGGTGTGTCGCATATCATCACGACCTTCATGTGAGCTTGTCAATTGACCTACATCAAAATACTATTTATTTTTTGAGGGGGGGGGGGGGGGGGATTATCTCAAGACTATTTCTTGTACCAGGAAAGGTCCAATATCCTTGACCTTTGACCTTCAAGGTTAAAAAAATTGTTTATTCATGTATATAATATATCCACCCTAAAAACCATGTCGTTTCTTGCTTTGCATTACAAGAGTTTTTCAATTAAGCTAAGGGGTTGTCCCTTAGGGTGATGTCCCACCTCCTTATGTAATAAAAGGTTAAACACTTCAAAAGTTGAAATTGATTTGTCCTTTTCTTCGCTGTAGTTATGGAAGGCGGAACTCTCTCTGCACATGAGTCATCCGATTTAAGGTCTCCGTTTTTACGAGATGTAGTTGCGTATTTATATACTAGTACAAGATTACCGCACTGACAAACGGACGCCCCACTTTAGCAAGGGTTTTCCTGTCGGAAGGGAAAAGTTCAAGGGATGACCTCAGTAAACCTTTTGGGTCCAAGCTGTCGAAATTGAAGTATATATTATGTACATTTATAATAGAGTACTCGTTGCAAATATAACTGATTCGTTTTTCTGTCAAAGTTCGATTATTCTCCCCGGATACGTCGGCTTTCTCGAAAACTGACCGCCTCGAACAAGTGCTGAACGTGGCATTACACACCAAATGATCAATCAATCAACATAATTGATTTGGTGGGTCTTGTGTTTTTTTTCAATTCTACAAGCATGAACAAGGTGTGGGGTTCATTAGCGTTAGCAACAATTTGTCATAGACATAGAGTTTCTGCCATTTTAAACTGTCTAACTTTTTTTGATATTCCGATAAAATTTTCTCTGAAAATAAAAGCAACTCTACGTTTTGGATCATTTTTTTCATGCATATATATCAGGGATATAAAAAAATAAATTCCACGCAATACGTTTTAAGGTGCTATTGTGTTTTTTTTCCTGTTTTAAAAGGTTATATGCCATAAGGATCTCTTACCAAAAAAAAAAAAAAAAAAAAAAAACTCGTTATACATACTTCACAATATCTATACTAAATAGTAACCTTTTGCCTACATTTATATGTGATTATCAATTAAGTACTTTACAGATATGATATGAAACTGCACTTTGGTCATACAAATCTTAAGTTAAATTATCAATTAAAGAAACAATATATCAACGTTTGCCAATTATAAAAAAAAAACAATCAACACTAATTATGAAAATCATTGATAAAGGTAAAATTACTTACTTTCTACGAGACATGTTGGTAAAGATTTGAAATACAAGTATCTAAATATATATATATTCAGTACATATTGTAACACAACATTGACTCATGTGTGTGTTCATTCAACCTATTATAACACGAGGTTGGATCTTAAAATGCATCAATGCGAACCTATTACTATAATTAACCCCTACGCTGTAGTACTAGAATGTTTGAGACTTAACTTGGTTCTAAGAAGGATGTGATACATCTATTACGATATTATAAAAAAGCTATACGTATAAGGTTTATAAATAGATTTTATATCAGCCTGTATTACATATCCTGTTCAATATTGACACATTATACATTGTTATAATAGACGTGTTAGGAAAGGGATTTAAATACTGCGCTGATGTTAAATACCAATACCGATACAAAAATTAAGTGTGGACTTTCTCAAAATGCAATTGCATTGAAAAGTATCCCGGCGTAGTATCGAGTATAGTTTAGCTTTGTGGTGTGTTTGAAACAACATGAAGCGAACGGTTAAGGTGGCTCGGCCCTTTAACAGTGCGCATATTTTAACGCATGTTACTAACGACGAGCGCCTTGGAAACGGTCGCTTTGAGGGGTTTTCTCAAAAATAGTTTTGACGACATTGGAACGCGGGCGTGTATGAAAGCACCCTTTCCCGATGTCAACAAACCATGCAAAACGTTCTACAAAAGCCACAAAACAGGAAATACGTGCGGTCAGGACTAGAGTGGTTTGTTCATTTTTCACATAAAATGGACAGAATTATACATGATATATTAAAGCATAACATTAAAAAAAAAGAAAATATAAATATTGACTTGTACGACGGTATCTGGTGCGTTCGCTCCAAAAACACATTCTCACCCTACACGTTCGCCCCTTGGATCCGTTCGCACCCTTTTCCATTTAAATACTGGTTGAATATATCAAAAGATGTCTTTTAGATGTATTAGTATATATATGAAAATATTTTGCCAATGACGCAATGTTTAACCGTAAACAAAGGATAGCGATGTAAACAACTGCATGTCACCTTTCGGCTTTCAAAAACAAGTAAAACCCATATAGTATGCTATAGTATAAAGGCATCGGGGTTCATCTGCACGCTATAAATAATAAATAAATAAATAATAATAAATAAGCTTTATTTAGAGTCGGCAAAGTATACAAACAGAGTCAACCTAAGCTCTAATGAGCTTTTAACCGTTTTATCCGTTTGGCGTATTATAACATTTTGTTACTGTCATACAGTAGTGTCCGGTAATTCCGCCCGTCCGGTAAACCCGCCCACTCCCATTTATTTCCGTAATTGTCACTTCTGTGAATATTTAGTCTGCTATTTTATTCATAGGAACTGTGCTTATCATCACTGCATGTCAAATTAAAAAAAAAAATCCGTTATTACGAAAATATCTAGTGATATATATAACACGGTCCCTAAAGCTAACGATAATCATATAATTGCTTACAAAACTCGTTTCTGACTTGAAATTTTTTTTTTTTCGATTGTCTGGAATCCCTTTATAAGTGATCTATTAATATATCACTTTTTCCTTTCATAAAAATGTGATAAACTGGCCCTTCATACATATTTACTGCCTATGGGCGGATTTACCGGACAAACACATTTCCGATCAAAACACAGATGACCCACTTGTTTTGTTGATTTTTAAAATTTATTTCAGATATTTTTTAGGAAATGAGATAAACTTTGATTTGTCAGTGATTCGAATTATGTTTACTTTGATACAATTTGTACATAATTAAGCAGAAATACATACGATCAAAGCCTTATGTGGGCGGATTTACCGGACTGCATCGTAAATCTCTTTTTTACTTGAAATATCTTCATTTCCAAGTATTGGTAGGATCTTATTCCGGAGTATGTGAAATATTTTAACACTGCAAAATTTTGATAATAGTTAAGTATTTTTTATTTTCCAAATTTTTTTTTTGACATTACAATTTTCAAACAAAGACTAAATACTTGACAGTCACACATAACATTTTTATTTAAAGATTTATATACTTTATCAAATAATGGGCACGAAAATATCTAACAAATTTTCTCGTATCATGATTCTATGAAATTTGGAACTCTAGTCCTATAACATGAGACCTCGGGGCCAATGTTTTCTATTTATAATATTTTCCTTTTACTTATTTTGCTATTTGTTAATTTTCTGTGTTCTGTTGTATCTATCAATATGCCAACAGAGTTCGCATTAAAAAAAAAGAGGAAATATCAGCGTAAAAACTAAAATAATTGATTAAGAATGAGTTATTATAATAGACTAACGGAACTCGAGCAACACATTTTTTGTTTTACGCAGAAAAAAAACCGGACATTTCAATAATTTGCAGTTTTCAACCTTTGATCATGTAGATGAAAATTGGTCAAAAGCAACCGGGACCTTACTAGTATTCCGGTCTTATATATCGGTATATGCTATTATCCCTCAATACCACATGCTTTGCGGCGCAAAATATTTGGCTTGACCAAGTCGGGATTTTGCCTAGGACACACATCCGCAGTCTACCGGGCAGTTCCAAACACTACCAGTTAAAGACATTATATATACACAAAATCTATACTACTTACTAGGTTAAGGAAAAGTTGGGATTGTAATTTTAAAACTCCGCCCAGTACACAGGGACGCTATAATAGTCGGTGATATTGGCAAACTTTAACTTCTGTCTTACTTTTTTTTCAAAAGGGAAGCTAATAAGGAAAGATCTTGATTTAAAAAAAATAAAAGTGGAGTGTGTCATTGCGGCAAGAAATATGTATGACAACTTTTTTAATGATGTGTGAACACTGGTTTGACCCACCTGCTAGCTGCAAAGAAACGTAATTATCGGCCTATGATGATAATATGGAGATGCAATTTTTTTTCAAGTGAATATTGACTTTTAAATTTGAACTTTGGTGGATAGTTGTCTCATTGGCAATCATACCACATCTCCTTATTTTCATATCGTAGGGTATAGAAATATGACTTCTGGGCCTAATCTGACAGATAATCCCTTGCTATGACAGGGTGTTCACACAGCTGGATGTATAGGAGGGGGCACTTCAATACTTAATTGATAGGGGTGCCGTTTGGGCCCACCTTTTTCAAAAATTTATATTCCAAAAATGCATACCTTTTCATATATTGCGTAGGTAAAAATGTAACCTTTTCCCTATAATGCTTGGGTTTCATGTAGTGTAATGTAAGACTAGAATACCAAAGTGTTAGAAGAGAAAATTTGGTTGATAAAATCACACCCGGGAACACCAAGAAAGATGACAGACGAAGAAGTTATGGAAACTTTATTGACCTTGAATATAGGAAGTGCCCCTCCCCCACCCCCACCCGAGATAAATACGCAGTCTCGTATGGTAAAAAGGAGGAATTTTGTCCACACCAAGCATGCATTGTCCATTTATTTTCTAGCGGCAGTCCATATAATTTTTGTGTTAACAAGAGTGCACAAGCTGAAATGTCTCACCTGCTTTACTAATCATCATTCATGATTGGATTTATGTTGATATTCCTAAAGATAAAGTTTCACTACAAGTATCAGAAAAAATTAATATTATCAATGATCATGAAAATGATCAGATAAACCAATCCAAGCCAGCCTTACACAGTGGCAGAGGCAGAATTTTTCATGAAAGGGGGGGGGGGGGGATGGCTGACTGCCTAAGAGAGGCCTGCTCCAGTCATGCTTCAGTGATTCCCTATATAATACCCATGGACCCTCCCCCTAAATCCGCCTCAGTCTGTTACAATCACCCCATCAACGAAATATTTTAAACATATATATAGTATGCCAGTAACAGACAAAACCATGAACATAAAAGTTCAGATAGATCCTGCAAGACAGGCATATTTGTTTTTCATTCATTATTTTGTACATAAATCATGCCGTTAGTTTTCTCATTTGAATTGTTTTAAATTGTACATTTGTCATTTGGAGGCCTTTTATACCCAACTATGCAGTATAGGTTTTACTCATTGTCGAAGCTCGTATGGTGACATTTAGTTGTTTATTTCTGTGTCATTTGGTCTCTTGTGGAGTGTCTCCTTTACAATCATATCCCATCTTTTTACTTAATATTTCAATATATACATTTAATAATCAAACCATACACCAAATATAATAACCCATTGATTACACAATGTAGCATGTTAAAAGAGGACTTACCATTGACCAATGAACCATGCAAATGTGGTCAATGACAACTGCCAGACAGACATGTACTCCTTACATTTGTGAATCATTGCATACATATAGTTTATCTACTACATGTACTTCTAGTATTAGAAAAAACAGACAAAAACACAAAAACATGACATTGACAAATGACCTATTGCTAACAGTATCTGATAAACAACCCTAATCAGGTAACTTTAACCTTGATCACTGATCGATGAAATGTGCTTGAGATCTTTGTAGCAATCTTGAGTGCATATCTAAATTTACAAAACAATATTAATCTGGATCATTGTGATACTGTAATATTAGAAATTATTGTGTGGTTATTATTAATGCAAATAATGCGACAGGGTGAATATCGCAATAATAAGAACTTGCATTCTAATAACTGAATTATAGATCTTTATGCAGATTTTTTTTGTAATCGCAATAATTAAACTCGCAATTTAGTCCATTTGTCAAAAATCGCAATAATAAATGCACGCAATAATTTCTGAATTTACAGTAGGAAAAAATGTTGTCAGTTAATAAATAGTGAGACACAAGTTTTCCCAGACAATATATAATTCTTTTGGTTGTTTTGTTTGGTTGCTGTCTCATTGAACAAAACTGTATTTTATTTCTCCTTTTATCCAAAAAATATAACTTTTGAAATAGAAACTGAATAGCATATGGATGGAAAACAAATGCCAAATGATGTTAAATAATTCAAGTGGCCATTTAGGTCAGGGGTTGGTGAGGTAAAAGATGAGGCAAAGGCATGTGCATTTACCACAACTGCCACTTGGTATTATGATTTCCAAAATTTACAAATCTCATAGCTACCTTCTGTATTAAAGACAACTGCATATATTGCAGTTTGCATATCATGAATTGTGTTTGCAGCAAAATTCACTACAGACAGCAAA